ACGGCGGCTTCGGGCCGGGTCCCTCCGTCCGCCGCCGGCGGGGGGTGCGGCGCTCGGCGGGCCGGTTGCCATGGCAGCAGCCAGGCGGCGCGGCGGCGCGCACGGTCGGCGGGGCGCGGCGCGGCGCGGCCCCGGAGCGTACCATGTGCGCCCGGCGGCGGGAGGCGGCGGAGGGGCCACGACGACGACGACGGCGGCGGCCGCTGCTGCTGCCCTGCTAGCTCCGCCACGGCGAGCCCGGCGACCAGGAGCCGCTGCGTCAATGTAACGGCGGCGACGGCGGGAGGGGTGCGGGGGGCGCGGGGAGGGGGCGCTTCTGAGCGACGTTCCCACGCCGCGCGTGGCAGCCCGCCGCAGGGAGGGCGGGCGGGAGGGAGGTGTTAAAATGGCGGCGCGCAGCCGGCCCCCGTGCTAACCCGGCCCCCGTGGCTCGCCCCGCGCCGCCGCGCGAGGCACGGAGCGGCCGCCCGCTGAGCGCCGAGGTAAGGCCGCGCTGCCCCCCTGCCCCGGGGAGCTGCTCGGGGCGGTGAGGGGGGTTGGAGCGTTGCGCCTTTGTGCGGGGTCGGGCGGCCGGGAGGAGCGCGGCTGTTGCTTTTAGTTTTGGTCTTTTTTAAAAACAGAAGGGGGAAAAAAAAAAAAAAAAAGCTAAACTAATTGCTGCCGTCATCGCCACCGCCGAAAGTCGTGCCGTGCCGAGCCGGCAGCGCGGATCTGCGCGCGGAGCGGCCGGGGCAGTTTGAGCTCCGGGCGCTGCGGGGAAGGTTCGGTTCTCCCACCGGGGGAGGGAGGGAATTTCTGTTTCTTTTTGCTTTCTTTCTTTCTTTCGTTTTTTTTCCTTTTTTTTTTTTTTTTTTTTTGGACTCTTATTAAGACATGCGCATTTGTTCCTCCTTGCCACCGCACTGGAGTCTGCCTAGAAACAAAGAGCACAGCCTGGCGAAGTTGGGGCTGCCTCGGGAAGTGGCTGCTTTTTTTTTCATTCCTCTTTTTTTCTTTCTTTCTTTTTTTTTTTTTTTTTTTCCCCCTTCTTTCTCCTTTGCTTCATTTACCCGTGCGGTGGGTATTTCCACGTGTTATTCCTGTGCGGCTCCAGGCAGAACCCCCCCTGAACTACTTCCCCCCCCCCCCCCGCCAGGCCAGGCTGTACGCATTTGGGAAAGTGCAGCCATGATAGATGGAGAACTTCTCCCGCTCCCACCCAGCCCCGTGGTGACACTTGGCGGGAGGTGTTGCCTTCCCTGGAGCCACCCCCATGCTGAATCATTGCGGAGCGATGGCTGGGCAGCTCGGGGAGCCGCAGTCCCGTCCCCCCTCCCTCCCCCCCCACCAACCCCCGTGCAGCGAGAGGTGCTGCGAGGTGAAGGGACGGTCAGAGACCTGTTGGCAGCGAGCAGCTCCGAGCTGGCTGTGTGGCTGCTGCTCAGTGCTCACCGCTGCCTTTGGGGGGGCTGCGAGGGGCTGATCCTGCTGTGAGAGCTGTGGGTGAGCGACGATGCTGGGATGTGTTTGATCAGCAGCATCGCATCTGTGCTGTTTGCCTAACCCACTCGTTTACCCTGAGCTCGATGCCTGCGTTACTTAAGGACTTTACCTTTTGGGGGACTCGGGGGCATGCGTGTGGTGCATATGAAGGTGTTCCTGGCTTTATTCAGAGGGTGCCTGGAAGTTTGGAAGCGAGAGGATGAGATGAGCGATTTGGAGCTGGAGTGTGTGGGGCAGGAGTAAATTGCAGCGGTTGTTGGACATGCAACGTGATCCTGTAATTAGAGAGAGGTAATAGTCTGTGTGCCATGCTGGAGCTATCGAGTGTCTGCGCTGAGCAGTTGGAGTCGAGCTGGTTCTGCTGGGATTATGCAGTTGCAGAAGTAATGCTGTTTAACTTATCGTACAGCAGCTCCAGTGGGGTTGCAGGGATGTGTTCCCCTGTGGGTCCTCCTTGTTGGGTATTTTGCTTCTAGGGTGGTACATAGAGCTGCAATGGTGCTGCTCTCCTGGTTGGAGGAATACCTGACGTGGCCCAGTCCTGCTCCTCAGAGCTTTACTTACAAATGAAGGCTCAGATCGCACATCTCGGTCCTAGGAGAAAAAAGAAAAGCCTCCCAAAGGAACTGCTTGTGGGTTCAGCTTTGCACAGTTCACGCAGCTGAAGGGTTTAAAAGGCTCCATAATTTGGTCTTGAAACTTCCCTGCCCCCACCACACTTTACCCTGTATACATATCCCTGTATTCCTGTTCCCAGGAGGTGTGTGCTGGGGCTGTGGCTCTCTCTGCAGTGGGTTGGGATCCTGGGGAGCTGCTGGGATCCGGGGCAGTGCAGCACATGTGAGCCCAGAACGGAGCTGTGTGGGCACCAACCCTTTCTGCAAGTGCTAATTTCCCCTGGTGTGCGTGTATGTATATATAGAGAGACATGGTTCATATTTAAATTAAGTCATTTTAAAGTAATGATGGCCCAGAAAAGTTTGAGAGCTATTTTGGCATTTGAGTGCTTCTATTTGAGAGACCATGGACTATACAGAAGCTTCTAGATATTGTGGGATGCACCTACAGCAGGAGGAGATGTAGCCTAATCTCTGACACAGTCTGTCTTCTCAGAAGCAGCTGTGTTTTACACATGTACCTTTCAGTCTGGATGCTGCTGTGCATCTCTAATGGCTCTGCACTGTGTTTTGGGCCTGTGATGTAGCCCAGGGGGTTCAGAGCAGCTCTGGCAGTCATGGAGGAAGCTCCCCGTGGTTGCTGTAATGTCCAGCAGTGCCTGGACACAGCAGAAGGCTGTGGTGACACCACCTCCTCTACACTGAGGGGGAGTGAGGGCTCTCCAAGGAGCACTAGGCAGTGGATCTGGTGATGGTCCTCTTTTCTCCAACTGCCATGGGAAAGTTACTGAAAAGTAGGGATGCTGCTGTGTTGATGCTGCTGGAATGGATACAGTTTTACAACCATGTAGGTGGTTTTCATGGCCAGTTCTGCTTCGTAACCAACAGCAGCTTTCTCTGCCTCCTCCTTCTTTGTTGAGGAGTAACTTGTAAGAAGTCTGAGAGTTTCTTATTTTCCAAATCTTGTTCTGTGCACGTAAGGGAATGTGTAAGTGGGATTTAAACTTGTGACTGCAAACAAGGGGAGCTTGGATTTCTTACCTCTTGCTGTATAGCTTGCAAGTCAATTTTGAAGCTTATGATGCTGCAGAGAAAGAAATGGTCTTGCTTCCAGCCCTTTGCACCAGTCCCTTTACCATCCTCATGGTTTAAAAATAATCTTGCAGAGTAACAAGGAAGAGTGAGACTCATTTTAACTTGCTGCTTTCCTGATTTGCTTTTCCGCATGGCCATGCAGTTGTGCTGGCACAGAGGTCTGGGGTACACAAGCAGGACAGGGTGAGGTGTTGTTATCGTCACTGATTTGTGCTGAGCTAAAGTGATGGTAAAAAGTGCAGCGTTTGTGTCTTGCAAATGGCTTCTTTAGCAGGAGGCAAAGCTTGGCTTTCGTAGGCACCAGTGCCTTGAAGCTTGGTCAGGTGCCCAAAAGCAAATTGAGATTTTCTTTTGGTGAATGCAGACGCAGGTGATGATTATGTATCTACAGACAGGATTTGGTTGCTGGTGCTTGCAGCAGGACACCTGCCACAGCAGCAGTGGGAGCTTGGCTTTGGCAAGGGAGCAAATCTTAGTGTGACTCAGATATGTTGGGAAGGAGCATGCAGCTTTTATGGGAGCAGGCTTTTCTGTCCATGAGCTTACTGGAAGTCACGTGTGGAAACTAAACTGAGGACTAGAAACATAGTGCTGGTCGATGAGAGGGAGGCTGTGTGCTGGAAAGCAGACTTTGCCTATGTCTGTTTCCAGATGTGGTTATAGGAGCTGTGGCTCTCAGACTGTGCTCTACAAATGAGACTCAGTGTCCAAGCAAAGGAGATCCGCCACCTCAGGCAGACCTGGCACCCCACCTCGGGGTTCCCCAGGTCCACCTCCTGGCATCCAACAGGACAAAACAGCCTTTGAAACTGGATAGAAACACTTGGCTGGACAGCAGTTGTGGCTTGGGAGGGGAGAGAAGAGGATGGCTGTCTGTATTGAGCAGTGTGTATTTGCTCTTAAAATCCCTTGAAAGCTCTGAAGCTCGAACTTGCAAATCACTCCATGTGCTGTTTGCCATGTGTAATATTTCAGTGAGAAGTTTCAGTTCTGTATGGATGAGTTAATGCAGGAATTGTTCCATTTTAAGTGACAGGGAACCAGTTACTTGTGTGATGCTTTGTGGTGTGCTGTTTGCTCAATTATATTATGAATTGGTATATTTCAGCCTCCTGCATCCTTTTCTGCAATGCTCAGGTTTTAACTTGGTGTGTGTTTTGGGCGCAGGCTGAACCGCATTCAATGCTGGAGCCCTTATGATACCAAAATATTTTGTAATTCTCTGTTCACCTTTAAGCAGCATCGTGGGTATGCCAGACTTTGTTGGTTTTTTTGTTTTGCTTTTTTCCCTTTCTGGAACTGAATTCTTTGTGCCTGCTAAATGTAGAAACGGCATAAACAGATCCATTTTCTTTGCTTTCTCCTGGTTCACGTGTGCATGCAGATTGCTGCTTCTAGGTAGATTGTTTGCTTCCATTTGTGCTGGTGGCATTTTGCAGCTGCGTGCCTCTTGCCTGCTAAGCCCCGGCAGCGTTATTCCCCTAGCTGTGCACCCTCCCATTTTTCCGTGCCATCTTCCAACAAGGGTAGGCGATGTTATCGTCCCCCATTTGAAGCGGTGTCAGCAGATAGTTGTTATTTCCCTTTCTCCCATCCCGATGCTAAGCACCTCCGGCAGGGATGAGTCTAATGCATGGAGCAGATCCACGCCTTGGCCTCCAAACTGTGTGGCCCTGTGTGGTAGGAGCGAGGTGCTCAGCTGCCCCTCGTGTGCTTTTTGTCACAGCACTTACAGGGGAGGGAGCTGAAAACGAGTGGCCTTCAGAGCTCGGTGTTCGGAGGGCTTCTGGATGCATAAAATCAGAGAGAATGTGTCTGTGTAATCCGATCTGTGCTTGAAAGCCTTGCGGAGGGCCGCATGCTGCAGACATAAGCTGTGTCAATAAGAACTCTATTCACTCTCGGAAAACAGCCTCGTGACCGAGTTTGACTGGCAGGCTTCCGAAGGGAGGGCCTTTTTGGAGAAGGAGCTCTGATTTTGGCGGCACTTCTGACCGCCTTCTCGGACTCCCACTTATTGTTGAAATCCTTTCTTGTTAACTTGGATTTTGCTGGGCTGGGATTTGGCACGGCACGATAACGGGAGCGACCTTCCTCACCGTGCAGCCCCACGGCAGCGCTTAGGAACGGGAAGGTGATGGATGTAAGAGAATATGAGGTAGGGCTGGGAGCTGTTGTGGGTGGGAGGGCGCGCTCGCGTGCGTGCTCAGGGTGCCTTATTGCAAAACAGAGGCACACAACGCCGAGTCCTTGTGAAAGTTGCAGATTGCAATGGACCAGGTGTGCGTTTGTGCACCTTTGTGTCGCCTGCATCGTTTTGGCAGATGTCTGTAATACCCAGAAGTGTTGTAGGGTGAAATTCGGCTTTCACTTAGGCTGGCACAAATCTGCTCGGAAGCCTGTGTCGTACTAATGGCTGTCATTTGGCTGCTTGTCGTTATTAGAGGAAGAAAGAAAATCCCACCAAACAATATCCTTGTTTTGCTTTATGAAGTATTCTAGACCTGGCATATGTAGCCTTTTAAATCCTTGTAGGAAAAACCTGCTCGAGTTGATAAAAAACGATGGCTACAAGATTTCCTGAAAGCAGAATCGAAATCAAAATAGCAGACTGAGCTGCTGCTTCACGTGTTGTGTTTGTGTAAATGGCATTTGGTTGCGCTACATGCATGATATTCAACATTTCTTCTGCTGAAGTCTCCAAGCCAATCTCTGCCTTTCCCTTCCTGCTGCTGACAGAAGAGATGCCAGGCTGTCAGTTTTACACTGGTTTTTCCTTATGGGTCCCTCGGTCAACCTGGGGCCTTTTTGCGAAGCTCCTGGACACAAGTTGTGATTTGGAAATAAGCTCATCTGTATGCCTTGCTGCGTAGTTTCTGTCACTGCATAGGAAAGCTTGTGGGTATAATTGGGATGTAATAAAAGCAAGGCTAAAAAAAAAGAAAAAAAAAAAAAGAAAAAAGAAAAAAGCGTGGCACAGAGCTGTTATTTAAAAGAAACGCAATTATGTCTTAAGCCAATTGAGGCTTGACTTAATTTCTTAGCGTTTGCTGGTGACAATGCAGTAAAACCAGAAAAAATGCCTGCTCTGAACTAGGAATGTGCCTGCTGAAAGCTGCGAGAGCTCCAGAATGTGGCCAGGCAGCTGAGCGCTGGCCTTCTGCAAAGGCCTGATCCTGTCTGAGAGCTGCAGTAAGAGATGGGTCCTGGGCTGGGTGGGGTGATGATTAGGCCTTGGGAGAGCAGCGTGCAGTGGAGGGCTGTGACACAGGGGCAGGAAATGCTGCTCGCTGCTGCTTGTAACTCAGGGAGGCTGCAGCTGGGTAATTTGTTTTTACTTCCTGTTCCCGGTATGTTTGGGTCAAAAGTAGCAGTGTTTTTCCATATTAAGATGTTTGGCTTCATTCTGCGAGGCAGCAATAAATCTCACACTGTGCACAACGCGTTTCTTGTATTTTGGGGGCTCTGTATTGCTGCCTTTGACTTTTAATTTGGATGGTGAAACCTTTATTAGGACCTCTCCTGTCACATAGACCTGCTTTTCAGGGGAAACAGAAAGCTTTTTTTTTTCCTTGCTCTGTTTTGGAAAGAGGCTTTGCCCTAACTCAGGACCCTGCTCTGCTTGTATTACAGTTTTTACCTAAAAGGTTTTTTTGAGGTAGGAAAAAGAAACAGTAGCACAGAGCTGGTAATGGGGTTACGTGGTTACAGGGTCTGTGCTGGTCCCTGAAGCCCGCAGATGCTGGAGGTGATCTTCAAGCACACAGAGCAGCTGGCTGAGCATCCGTCTGTGCTCCTCCTGGTTCTAAAGGGAGGAGCAGGGCTGGTTCTGCGTGAGGTTTGGTTGGCACTGCTGGAAGGAGAGGCCTGCTGGGCTGGTGACTGCAGTTCTGGGCCTGTGTCGTAATATAACACATCAGGCAGCTTATGCTCGGGTGCCAAGGTTGAAATGAGGGTGCTTCTGCTGCTGCTGAAAGGCAAATTTGTTTTGTGTCCCATGCTAGGTGGAAGATTATACTTCTAAAAACACCCTGAGATCCAGACATGAGGTATAGGGAAGTTTCTGGAGTGTCTAACAGTAGATTTTCTTATATTTTGTTATATTATGCCACCATCTTGTCCCTGTAGTGATGGGTAAATGCAGCCCGGCTGTGCAGGCTGGCCCAAGCTCCCCCAGCTGGGTGGCCGCACTGCTTTGCATGCCAGTTGATGTTAGGAGCAGTTTCCCCCCCAGGTCTTGGAGCTTCTCCACCTGCTCAGCCAACCTGGGGGGCTCATCCTTATCTTAGGGTGCACACCCAGTTCCTTCTGCATTTCAGATGTAAATGACTTTCTGTGCAGGTAAGGAGAGAAGCAAATTTGGGTGGAGCTTGCTTATTTGGGAAATGGTGGAAGCTGACTGAGAGAGGCACTGCTACAAGGCAGAACCTTTGGATGCTCTGAGTGTCCTTGTGGCCTCTGTCATCTCTGCAGAGCCTGCTGCTTACTGCCCTTCAAATGGGTTTTGGCACTGGAAGGTGCAGTCTCTTTCCTCTGCTGTTCTCCTTGGTCTTGTAAATGTTTGGCCTGGCCGAGAGAGGGGGCAGAACTGCCCAGGCTGAGGGCAGCCAGAGCTCAGGGCCTCTGGGAGTGTTGGTGCAATGGAGCTTGGAGGGTGCTCAGGCCTGCAGGAGAGCATCTGCACAGGTGGGGCTGGGCTGGTCAGCAGCAGCCTTCTGCAATGTGCTGGGGTTTTTAACTTAATGCTAACTGTTACAGTTGCATGCTGATTAATATTAGAGTAATGCTTAATGTAGCTGTTGCATAAGGCTGTGAGCAAAGGCAGGTGCTTTTTACCGGTAGTAACTCCCTTTTTGAAACAAATGGCTGGACAATTGAATTGAGCTGATCCTGTGCTTGTGGAATTGGCCACAAACTACATTTCAAACAACTGCACGCAGATGCGTGCGTTGTAGGCTTGGAAATGCATTGCCATGCAGGGACCAGGTGAGTAAATGCTGTTCCTGAATAGAATTCACACCTTCAAGAGAAGCCATTTAAGTTTAAAATCTCATGTTGGTCACTGCTGGCAGCTGTTTGGTTTTTTTCAGTCCCCTTTACCTCTGATACATGGGGATGTTGCTGCTCCCACTCCCCAGCTGAGCCTGTGGGAAGGTGCTCTCCTCTCCTGCCTCAGTGGTGTGCACTGGTGGGGCTTTCCTATCTCCTGGTGGCAAGGAAGCCATTAGAACTGCAGAACTTGTTCACAGAGTTATGCAGCAGTTGCCTAAAAAAGAGAAGATAGGATGCTTGTTAAGTTAATACTACAAATGCTTTTTTAAGGCACCTAGTACAGCAAGACTGCTGAGGGGGAGAAGTCCATTATAGTGATTATAGTCCAAGTATAGCGTCTTTCGTGATGGGCAGGAAGCGAAGCTGACTACAAATGGGAGCTATACTGGAAGGTAAAAAACCATCTATATATTTTGAAAGGTAAAAGAATGAATTTAAATTCACTTAATGTCTGTAATCTTTGTATTATTAGCTATGATCTGCTGAGAAGCACTCAGTCCTGACTTTTTTTTTTCCCTCCCCTTCCACAGAACAGCATTAATAAGAACTGAATGTTTTTCCTGACCTCTGCCTTTAGACTGTGAGCTCCCAAGAGCACAAATTACTCTTCTGTATTTTTGGACAGCATCTGCAGGTATTGAAACCTGCTACACAGAATAACAGTACAGCTCAAGATGTGCTGCTGCAGTCCTGGGTCACTTAGCAAGGATCCAATCCTGTGCACTGCTTACAGGAGGAAGGCAGTAGGGCTGCAGCTGGGTGTGAGGTGCAGGGCTGCTTTTAAGGCCTTCTTAAACCAGAATGTTTCCAATGTGGTTCTCAGCAAGGTGGTCTCAGGGAGAAGGATTTGCTAAGTTTTGGAGAGTGAGAGGGATAACACTGCAGGATTTGCTGATAAATGCCTTCCTGGAGATGTACCGAAGGGGAAATACAGATGTAACGCTGTAGATGTGCCTGATGCAGTACAGTTAGTTGGATTGTGGAGATGAAAGAGGTGAGGCTGGCTTTAGGATTGTTGTTTGCAAAGATTGAGCTTTTAGTGTGAGGAGAGCAGAGCAGCCACATCTGCCGCCTTTGGGTGGGAGGTTTTTGCGCTTGACTGCCTTTTCTGAAGGAGAGAGCTGGTGGCTGTCCTTGTGCAGGCAAGTTTGCTTAGATTTCTACAAGAATGTGATGTTGTTCATCTTGGAGACTCAGGCAACCAAGACAGAATTAAAGCATGAAATCTGCTTGCTCATGACCCGAATCCCCTAATCACAGCCTCGTGTAAGTGAAGGTCTTAGGCTGGGTTGAGTAAAGGGCATCTCCATGCAAGAAAACGTACATCTGTCCTCAGCCTTCCAGAGTTAGAGAGCTTACTGGTGTTGAAATGTAGTTGAAGGGTGCCCTTGCTTTGAGCCAGAGCAGCTGTGCGTGTCCCTGCTTTCCCCTGTGTCAGGCACAGCACCAGAGCCATGGTGAGGGCAGGTGCCTGGCCCCTGGGGTGAGCCCGTGCCTTTTGGATCCCTGCCTTAACTTGGTTGGGTTACAGCCTTAATTTAACCTCTGTTCCGCCGTTTTTTCTTCTTTAGATCTGGGAAGGAGCATTAATGTGGTTCATACAGTAGTGTGGCCACTTTCACTGACCCTGTGATTTGCTTCTGACTGTCTCTGTTTTCTGTGGATGTTTTTCATAGGGTGCCTCGCTAATGCCAAGCCAGTGGTAATCCCACACTTTGAACTTTGTGTTCGACTAATTCCGGATTGTGAGGCTGCAGCCAGAAATGTAAGATTAGCTGTTTCTTTTTTCAAGTAGGTGGCTGAACAGAAAAAGGAATTTAAAAAAAAAGGAAAGGAATTTCATCCACTTTGGATGAACCGGTAAAGAAAAAAGAAAAAGCATTTGGCTTCAGTGATCAACTGGAAAAATGATCCCATTTTTGGCATGGGAGTGGAGAGAAGAGCATTTCAGTTGAAAAATGTAGAGTTTGTTTATTTATTAGATGAGATGTAGAGGTCTTGGCCTTGAAGCACAGTTTCAGCTTAGAGGTAGAGAAGAAAAATGGGAGGAGAAATGCTGCTGCTCCACCACTGCTCCCTTCTTGTGAAGAAGTGCTCCAGTTTTTC